CCCCAAAACCCCAAAACCCCAAAACCCCAAAACCCCTTTCCAGAGGATGTATTTGAAAAGATTCATGAAACTATTAATTAAAATATATTAAACTGAAAGAAATGGACGGCAAAAAGCATAAAAAGTCTTACGATTGCCAAGCCCCTAGGCAAGCCAAACCTCGTGCTGCTAAGAAGATCATTGATGCAACAGTAGATGACAGCAATTTCAGCACCATTGAGGAAGAAGTTGGTCACAAGTACCAAATTGTTAGTCAAATAGGTGCTGGCAGCTATGGTAATGTTTACCAAGCGATAGACAGGGAAACAGACCAGAAGGTTGCTATCAAGAATGTACACTCTATTTTTGACGACCTGGTTGACTGTAAGCGCATCATGCGTGAGATTAAGATCCTAAGGAAGATAAAGAGCCCGTATATCGTCAGTCTGCACGACATTATTCCTCCTAAAAACCGGAAGACATTTAATTCGATAAATATAGTACTAGAATTTGCAGATTCTGATTTAAAGAAATTATGAAAATCTAATTTGAAGCTAGAGGAGATTCATATCAAAACCCTGATGTACAATATAATGTGCAGTCTGAAGTACCTACACTCTGCTTCCATCCTCCATCGTGATATAAAGCCTGGAAATATATTGGTTAATGAGGACTGCAGCATTAGACTTTGCGACTTTGGTCTTGCCAGATCAGTCTCAGGTGTCCCAACTGAAATAAACTTGGTTAATCAGATGTGAAAAGATATTGACAAGGGAAAAGATCCTTGAAAAACAGATGAGCTCGAAGAATACAAGGATTATAGAGCCTCCAGGAAAGCTACCATGGACGACGATTATATTGAGCTTGACATAAAAGAGAAAACATATGATGAAAAGAGAGAGATTCACTTCAAACTCAAGAAGACTAAAGCTGCAAGAAGAAAAATGAAAAGATCCCTGACTGGGCATGTCGTCACTAGATGGTACAGAGCTCCAGAATTGATCCTATTAGAGAAAAGTTATGGGTCACCAGTGGACATCTGGTCAATCGGATGAATATTTGGTGAGCTCCTTTCCATCGATTCTTCTGAAGGAGGTCCAAGTTGAACCCAGAGACGCCCTCTTTTCCAAGGCAACTCGTGTTTTCCATTATCTCCCGCAAAGAGACCGATGATTGAAAAGGATGATCCAATGATACAAGACCACCACTCGGATTTTCCTATTGATAGGAAGGACCAGTTGAAGATGATTTTTAGTATGATTGGAACCCCTCAGGATGAAATGGATGTCTCTTTCATCAGTGATAAGCAAGCCGAAGATTATATTAAAATTTTTGCCAACAAGCCTGGAGTAGACTTTGAGGAAAAATATCCAAACGCTAGTAAAGAGGCTATTGACCTTTTGACTAAAATGCTAACATTCAATCCTTATTACAGGATTACTTTGAATGAGATCCTCAACCATGACTTCTTTGCAAGCGTCAGAGATCTTGAAAAAGAAATCACTTCTCCAAAAGAAATCGCATTTGATTTTGAAATGGAGGGAGATCTAAGTGAAAAGCGTTTGAGAGAGCTAATTTTAGAAGAAGTTGACCACTTCAACTAATTCTATGACACTGTCTACTGTGGCTCAGCTTCTTGATGAAATATAAAATGTCAGAAGCTAATTCTTATAATAAATTTTTACTCATATCATTCATATTTTTGATGAATTTTTCAAAGTTTATTTTAACTATTTTATGAAGGGTTAGAGCTACTATTTTTGAGTAACAACATTATTTTTCACAATTTCCATCATTCATTGAAAGTCTCCAGTATTTTCAGTCCTCCGATTTGTCATTTCCTAATTTTGAATAAAACCAAAGAGGTTTAAAAAGTTATATATAGTTGTTATCTCCCATTAAAATGTGGATCTTTGGCCAATTAAAATTCTAAGATATTTTTATCATTTTCTTCCTTCTAGCCTAGCCAGTACCCCAATTTCCACCATGCTAATTAACTTAATATTCGTTATGTTTCCAGATGCTGTTTATTATTTTTCATTTCTCAATTTAAGAAACTGAGTAAGGGGTTTTGGGGTTTTGGGGTTTTGGGGTTTTGGGG